TAAAGTGATTTGGTTAGTTAAGGTCATATGTCAACTTCGATGCCTGTGAGTGTGTCTGTCTCTGTATGTGCCTGTTTGTTTTTGTTTTGGTTGTCATCCTGATTCCTGATCTGATTTTCATAAAATCCAAGTTTTTTATGCACCTAACATCGCAAGCTTCATCAGGCATCCCATGATTTAGTTAGCTAATTTAACCTAACTCTACATGCTTGAAAATGAATGAAGTTAACTTACCGAACCAAAAATGCGTTCGGTTGTAGCTATTTCATCACACAAAAACTAGCCTAATGCTGAATAATGTTTGGGCTTGTGCTATTGTCTATTAAGTGTATATAATGCTCATGTAATGGTTAGTATGATAGTTATAGCTAGATACGAGGCTAAATCAGCCTCCTTCTCTTGCTCATTGGCTCTTCCTGCACTCCCTCTCTCTCTTCCTCTCCTTAAGTCTATGCAAAAGCCACAAATAGTTCCTGCTTAGTTTTCTACATTCGTTCCTCCTATTCAAGACGTTGGCTGATCTATAAACTGATCGAAACCCAATTTTCCTTCATATCTTAGAAGAAACAAGTCTGATGACAGGCTGTATAAACCTAATTAGGACAGATATACGCGAACTTATCCGTTTTGCGGACACCTTTGCCACATCAAATGTATATGTGCTTTGCCCATACGTATGTTTGTAACGAGCGTCAATATGCCAAATTCGGACTCTGATGAGTGCAGGCCAGGATTAAGAGCTTCAGAAGTCTGTTTGCAAGCAGTAGCAAATACGAGTCAAAGTTTGACATCTGGTTTTAAAGACTAAAGTGTGGTGAAGATTCTTTGAGGTGAGGTAAATGTACAACAAGAGAGGTCACATAAAAAAATCCGATTTATTAGAGTAAAAATAGTGCCTAACTATAGAACACAGAAGTAATAGTCTAATATAACTAGTTCTACAAACCTTTTCATCAAAGGCCTTTGCAAGAAATTAAAATAACTCTAATTAATAAATGGCAAGCGATACTTCAAAATCAGTTTTCCAGGCATTGTATTATCTGCAATATATTATAAGAATGTAAAAGTGAGTCAAGTCATTTGATATTAACAAAGAAAGTAAAATACTCTTCAAAGTAAGTAAATTCGAAATTTCCCATATATGTGTGAGAATCCTCAAACATGAATCCAGCATAATCGATAAGAGTTAAGTATCCCTCTATTCTATGCAATTCCGTAGTTAAAATCGCACATTTAAATCTCGAGCTAAATTCCTATATTAGCTAATGGGCTGTAGTAGGCATCTCTCAACATATCTCCATTATTTACTGATTAAGATGCGCTGAGAAAGGGATCTTCATTTAGTTTTGTTATTGTTAGTTTTCTTTGGGTTCTTACATATACGTAAAAAACGTGAAAGTTTTAAAATAGGCACGAATAATAGGATAGAGAAAGGTTTTGGTCACCTGTGAACAGGCTTCATAAAAGGAAACAAGCGCGTCCAAAGCTTTGCCCCTAGTGTAGAACTGCACAATTGTACGCATCACATTGAGATCCGTCCTCCAGGTGTCCAGTGTTTGCAGATAGTTGGCCGCCATCACGTAGACTTCACGCTGTTTACTGACGTTGGCAAAAAAGACAATCTTTTCTGTATCACCAGAACGAAGAAGCGCTTTCATTGCCCCAAGTCGATTACCGGCTTGTGTAAATTTTTTGCAGGCTAAATGGTAATGACCCTGAGACATACAAAGCTCGGCTAGTTCAGAAAGAAAGCTCTCTTTTTCTGGCAAACCAGCAGCATCTGAAGAGGACGAATGGCTGGCTCGTCTGATAGCTGAACCAGAAGTGGACAAATTGCCTAATGCTTTGGACGTATGAACAAGGAGCTGGGGAGGTGTCAACTTCTCAGCAATCTCTTCGGTCATTGGCACGTTATGATCAGTACAAAGGGTAAGAGCTTCTTGATACTGATAAAAGTAAGAAAGAAAAAAAATGCAGGCTGTAAAAAAGGAAGACTTTAAAATACAAAATTAATTCTTATAGTATAAAGCGAGGATCTGAAGAGGAAAAGCAACTTTGTAAATAAAGAAGAAGGCAGGCAAATTGCACAGAATCATAATATAGAGAAAAAAAGCTAGTAGAAA